TTGAAAATTTCTCTTTCGAATACAAACTATAGTTTTTCTTTTTCTTGACATGCTTATTGGAAACAATTTTCTCTACTCGATTCTTTATTTGCATAGTTTCTAGTAATATTGAAAAGATACCTACTGTATATACGGAACTGAATAGCAGCTATAAGAAAGTAGCTGTTTTGCTACTCTTATGATCATATGTCAAATATATATGAACGTGTTTTTCATATGATTTAGGTAACAACAAATGATAATGATCTTCCAGCTTCTTGAGAAAAACCATTTGCTGCTATTCGTCATCAGTGTCCAAAATCCTTTTTGAATCGAACAAGTCTTGTTTGTCATTGTCACCGTCAACATGATCAACATCGTCAAATAAAATCCAGTAAAACATCATTACGTTCAGGTTCATCAGCACCCAAATCCACTTGATCGTGGTCGTCATGCTACAGATACATCATCACTTAGTTGTTGTTCAATAAAATTTGTTCTTTCAAATGAATTTCTTCATGAACAATTTCAACATTTGTATATTCAACAATCTTTACATACAATTGATAAATTCACTGAATGTTTTCCATTACATTCAGCTGTTTATCACCAAGAACAACAACTTGAAATCAATGATAATAATTTATTATGTAATACAATTCTTAATGCTCATGAATTTGGCTTAACTTTTTATCAATTATATAATAAAGTTAAATAATCTATGATATTTAGTGAATGTGTTAAAAAATTAACTGATTATTTAACACGTGAAATTGTAATTGCTGCGGGAAGTCGTACACGAAATATGTACATCGAAAACATGCACGTTCTTGGCTTATTTATTCAATACGTTTCTGACAACATGATAATAATAACAATCTTGTAACATTATTAACAAGTGCTTTTGTTGAGTCAACTCTATCTATAACAGCAACACAAGATAATAGGCAAATCAAATGTATAAATTTATCTAGTAGTGAAAATATGTTTAATAATAATAGTCAATTGATTTCGGATCAATTTGAGATAAGAAAAATTTTCTAAAAAGAAGTGATTGTAGTTTTGATAAGGAAAACATTAGTAGCAATTACTGAGCTTTGGAATTAAATTTTTAGACAAAAAAGTCAGTGTTCATCATTTTCTTTGATTATGCAAAACAAAATTTTTTAGCATGATTCCTGCAAGAGTAAAATATAAAACATGATTTAGTTATTGATGTCAATCATAGGGGAATTCTTGTCGGGGATACATTTTTTTCACTATCGTTTCTCCCAAAAGCCCAAGAATGAAGTAGTCACGAGGCATTGAATGCTAGTGTCTATTATTTTATATCAACAGTCGAATCCAAAATTTTTGGGCTCGAAACCAATTCGAAGTCATAATAACCTGAATAATATTTTACGATCCGATTAATAGTTTCTATGAGGGTGTGGGTGTGGGTGTGGGTGTGGGTGTGGGGTGTGTGGGTGTAGGTGTGGGGTGTGTGGGTGTGGGTGTGGGTGTGGGGTGGGGGGGTGGGGGCGGAGGGGGCGTGGGCGCGGGTGCGGGGAGCTGCGG